CACCTCTTTGTGATTTTTTTAAGGCCTGGATTTTTTCATCAATGTCTATAATATAATAAAAATATCCCATGGCCTATCATTCTGTTGTGGTTATTTATCCATTAATTTGTTCTTTCAATGTTTCTTTAATCATTTTTAAAGCACTGTAGCACTGTCCTCCCGTTGTTCATTGATTTGCTCCAGCGGGCCCAGTAACATCTCCATTGTGAGACTTGCTGTTACTGTGTTTGGCATATTGAAAACATCACGGGGAGTTTGCCAGGCTTTGTCGTGCAGGCAAGATACCCTCAGTAACTTGCTGGGCTCTTCGAGAGGGGGCCATCATCATGAAAATTTATGTACTATTCATTACTTATTATTTAATTTTACTATCTCTTTTAAGCTTGAAAGGTTTCTCTTTTTTTTAAAAAAAAACTGATTTTATTGTATTTATTTATTTGGTTTTGGGACCACACCCAATTGTGCTTAAGGCTTCTTTCTTTTTTTTTCTCACTTTTTTACAATTTTTAAACAATTTTTATTAAGTGAAACACCATGAGGTACAGTTGTAGACTTACAAACTTTTGTGCTTGGATTTCAATTATACAATGATCAAATACTCATCCCTCCACCAGTGCCCATTTTCCACCACCACGGGTCCCAATATCCCTCCCACTCCCCATCCCCCCATCCCACCCTGCCTCTGTGGCAGGGCATTCCCTTTTGTTCTCTCTCTCCTTTTGGGTGTTGTGGTTTGCAAAAGAAGCATTGAGTGGCAATCATGTTTGGTCTATAGTCTACTTTCAGCATTCTTCTCCCATCCTGGGAGGATCCTCCCAACACCCTTTATTTGGTACTCCCTTCTCTATCTGAGCTCCCTTTTCCCCTAGCATGTGTGGCTGGCCTCCAAGCCATGGAATAAACCTCCTGGTACTAATCTTGGCCACTCTTGGGTGTTAGTCTCCTATTTTGTTACTTTATGTTCCCCAGATGAATGCAATCTTTCTCTGTCTATCCCTCTCTGACTCATTTCGCTTAGCATAATACTTTCCATGTAGTACCACTTGTATGTAAATTTCATGACTTCAAATGCTTATTTCTGGCTCTGTGCTTGGGGATCACTTCCGGCGGGGCTCTGGGAATCATATAGGTTGCAGGGGATTGAATCGGGTTGAGACATGCAAGGCAAGCACCCTACCTGTTGTAGTATATCTCCAGCCTACTGATTTTAAAATTTTATTCTTTTCTATAAAAATGCAACTTGATATTCAGTCTTTACCTATTGGGTTGATTGGAACCTGCTAATTTCATGTAACATTTTTGTTATGACAAAAACAGCTTCCTTCAAGGACTTCTTTACTTTTTTTTTGAGGCTAAAAACCAAGTTCAGCTCAACAGCTGCAGTTGACTGTGCCTTCCTCAGAAACAGTAGGCAACATACTTGGTTTTTGTTTTATTGGTTACCATGTCCAGAGATGCTCAAGCGTTATTCCTGACTCTATACTCAGACATTACACCTGGCAGTGCTTGGGGAACCATATGAGATGCTCCCGATTGAACCCTGGTCGGTAGCATGCAAAGCAAGCACCCTAGCCGCTGTACTATCACTGTGTCCCCACTAGGTACCATATTTGTGTTCCAGATTAGTGATTGGCACAACTTCCTCAAAGCTGTCCTACTCCCTCTCCTTTACCACTTATCCACACCCGTTCATCCATCACAGTGCTCTAGAGCACACCAGCACCTGTCTGCTCACACACCAGAAGTTAGAATCTCTGCATTTAGACCAGTGGTTTCCCATCTTTCTACAAGTGTGGGCTAGAACCTGTCTTCAGACAGGAGTTTGGAGACCACTTCTACAAAGTTTCTTTAGCATGATAGATATTATCTGATATCCCTATTCTTTCCTGAATATATTCTGCATCCTCAGTTTAGGACATTCCCTTATTCAGCTTGGGACACACTCCCCCACTCCCAGGTTCTCTCTCTCTCTCTCTCTCTCTCTCTCTCTCTCTCTCTCTCTCTCTCTCCCTCTCTCTCTCTCTCCCCCCCCCTCTCTGTCACACACACACATGCACACACACATCTTTTGCTTATTCCTACTAATCTGTCATGTAAAGACAAGTATATCGTATCCTTGCTATGTGCCATCAAGTGCCTGACACATTTTTATGTACTCCTAACACCTAGTCACAATGTCTTCCTAACTTGCTTATGATTCTAGTTTCTCTTTTTCATATGTATATATATATATGTATATAAAATATCAGCACATATTTGCTGGGTGTTGTGTGTGAAAATAGAATAAATGAATGAACATTTCCAAAAAAATGTTTTCTGTGTTTCTCAGGAGGGCTTAATAAGAATATTTCCCTAGAGAACAGAGAAGTTAAAGGATAGCATATGGATGCTTTTTTTTTTTATTATATCAAGATGTCATGAATAGTGTATACTGACTTGTTTAATATTTATTTCACCCTCTCTCTAGGAATTAATACTGTCACGCAAAGGTTGGAAAATTAAAATGACATTTTCCTTGCTGCCTTACCGACAGTATTCTGGACATAAATTAGATACCACCAATTAGATACAATCTTGAGAAATAAGGAAGGTAGAGATTGGATAGAAGCTATTTTCCTCATATTTTTTCCTCACCAATGCAAGGTCATCAAAACATGAGGATTCCTTATGCCAGGGCTTATTAAAAATTTTGGGGGTGACTGGAGGTAGCTGTGGTAGTAGTAAGGACAAAATAACCTCTTGATTAAACATTAAGACTGGCAAGTTCTGTGTAATAATGCAATGGACCCAATCATAAAATTATATATAGAAAATATATAACTAGTTGATAAAGTGCTTTAATATAGTAAGATTTCTTTTAAATCAATAAGAAAAAAATTAACTCAATTAAAAATGTATAAAACACAAGAATAGAGTTAAAAAATAGTTCAAATAATATTAAATATTTAACATTTTCCGCATCACACTGGCAAAGGATTTTTAAGTGGTAACACTCAGTTCTAGTGAAGATATGCTACTTGTATTAGGTGTTTTTAAACAACTCTATAGACTTCTAAATTAATTCATTTTCTGCATCTACATGCAGATGCATTTTATGCATCTAGATTTAATTATGTTTGTAAACAATCCTTAAAATTCTCATCTGCTGTGTCAATGACTTTTAGTTTTGTTTTAAATAGAGAAATTCTACTTCGACAACGAGTTTATCCAAATGAAGTCATTGAGTGTACTTAAATACTTAAAGATTTAAAGATTCTTTCCTGCTTTTGGAGAGCAGGAAGTCCGCGAGTAGCTGTTAAAAGTAAAAAAGCCTATACCTATAATTAAAATTGAGAAGCAGCCTAGAATAATTTGCACATGCACACAAAATTGGCACATAGATGGATGTTGGTTTTATCACGATTTTTAAGAGTGAGCTTTTCAGAATAATAATAGTGAATGCATGAGCAGGCTCCACGTAACTGAGGATATGACCATCCAACTTCCTGCTGCTCTTTTCCTAGAAACCTGCCCTTTTCTAGGGAAACTTCCATTCTGTGGGTAGATTTAGAAAAGAACAATGCCCAGGACTCCCTTCACCTATCAATTTCCAGTTTGGAAGCTGGAGAAAAAAACTGATCTCTTCTTCTAGTACTGATTGAGTCAAGATGAAAGTTTTGGTCCATCCCTGGGACTTCAAGTCTCAAGCTGAGGTACAGTAACAGTAGCTCGGACCACAATTCCACGCAGTGGCAGTGGTAGATGTGTGCAGGGCACCAGCAGCTGCTTGCTGGCCTCACAGTTCCTTGCGCCTGAGAGCTGCACATCCGGCTACTTGGCTCACCAGAAAGGCCTTGTGGGCTGTTAGAAACAATGGAGGAAGAATCCAACATCAGTTAGTAACTAAACATTGTAGATCTCTGTGCTTTCCAGAGAGAGACCCTCATTGATATGCTGGTGAATTATATCAGTTGTTAAAAAGAAAGATCACCAGGTCTGTTAGTAAGGGGAAAATCTAATTGCAGAATATCCATTTACTTGAGGAATGTTTATTGAGCACTTCTATTTTCTCATCTCTGTGTTCAGTACAGGACAGACTTGCTCTGCCTCCGTGGAGCATTACATAAAATTCCTAAATGTTGAAAATAAATTGTATCTAGCTATAGCAGAAGGAGAAATACTGTAAATTATTCACATGCAGCATATGGAAAAGTTAGCAACTATTATCAGTGATTCTGATAGGTATCTTATAAAGGATCACTTTATTGAAAAAAAGAAGCACTTAATGTTGACAGGACTAATTCTGAATGGTGGAGTTATTTTTTTCTGTTATTTTATAAATTTTGCAATATGATAATTTTATAACAAAATTTATTTAAAGTAAAATATTTGAAATTTCCTAACCTCACTTTACATTTAACTAATATTTGAAAAACTCTGTAATAAGGATTTTCTAACCTTATAAATACTTCTGAACAACAGATCTATAAAACATATCAATGTAGACTGGGAGATAGCGAAGGAGTTAGAACACATTGATTCCCGGCACTCCATCGTCTTCTGAACATCGTGGGGAACAATCCTGAGGGCACCTCACCGTGCTGAGGCTAATCCCCAGCACAGCACAGTCTGAGTAGCCTCATCTAATCTAGTTCTTGCATTGAACTACAGGTCCAGTTGGCCTAGAATCACTGGTGAGACCCTGGCCCCTCCTGACCACAATTTGGGATCCACCCTCATCCCCTAAAAACAAAACCCTCACAGATGTCCATGCTACAGAATTGAAATAAAAGTCATCATTCTGCTTTAATGCATCTCAAGCTCTGAGTCAAATCATAAGAGTTTAGTGTGGACACCCCCTGGGGGTACAGGAAGTTACAGAATGTGGGGGTCAGTAATGGGGTTGGGGGAGAGCAGAGCCCATCTGAGAAGTCATCTGGTGGGTGGGCAGTCTGCAAGTCCTCACTAGAGATGCTCTGTCCAGGATTCACAAAACCTCTAACTGCATTTCTTGTTTGTAGAAGACTTCCTGGGACACGTGCTAGATCCTCCACCTGCTGTCAGGCTAGAGGCAGAGAACTGCACAGCTTTCAGAATCCAGTGGGGCGTGCCGGAACATCCCAGGCACATCATCGTAGCATTCAAGGTGTGTATCTGGCACAGGGTGGACTGGGGGTGGGAGTCCTGGGTATCTCTGTGATGCGTGTATGGCCTACTCATACTGATTCATCCTAACCATGCCTCTTTCTCTCAGTTCTCCCCCTACTTCATAATGGCTCCATTCCCCTTTTGTAGGAACCAAAGGGCCTAGAACTCTTTTCAGGGTGTTTCTAAGTACTCTAACAGGCGATTATGATCTAATTCCCCCTTCCTCTAGGATATAAACTAAACTAAGTAAAAGCCATGACATTCAGTTGCCTGGAGTCACTGTGGAGAGTGACAGAATCATGGGGAATAAGAGCGGGTCACTGGGGAATGTTGTTCGCAAGTCAGAACAATGTAATATCTGAGTGAAAGCAGAGGGATGGCCAGGCAGAGCAGAGGAGGACACAAATAAGGCAGCTTACTTCTTCAGCATCACAAATTAGACAGATTTCTTCCTTCCTTCCTTCCTTCCTTCCTTCCTTCCTTCCTTCCTTCCTTCCTTCCTCTCTCTCTCTCTCTCTTTCTTTCTTTCTTTCTTTCTTTCTTTCTTTCTTTCTTTCTTTCTCTCTTTCTTTCTTTCTCTCCTTCCTTCCTTCCTTCCTTCCTTCCTTCCTTCCTTCCTTCCTTCCTTCCTTCCTTCCTTCCTCTCTCTCTCTTTTTCTCTCTCTCTCTCTCTCTCTCTCTCTGTTTCTTTGCTTTTTTTGGGTCATACCTGGAGATGCACAGGGGTTACTCCTGGCCCTGTACTCAGGAATTACCCCTGGCGGTGCTCAAAGGACCATATGGGATGCTGGGAATCGAATCCAGGTCGGCTGCATGCAAGGTAAATGCCCTACCCGCTGTGCTATTGCTCCAGCCCCAGATTTCTTTTCAGATTGTTGAACAACAATTTTCAAGATGAATCAACTGATAGAAGCCAGATTTCAGAGAAATTTCTGGACTTCTGGAATCTCGAGGAAATATCAAGAGAGCTACTCTGGGTCCTCATCTCTGAGTGTGGGAACCAAGATCCCCCTAGAGCAGAGTTCCCCACTTCCAACTGGTCTTCATAACACCCTCACACTCACCCCACCTTCCTTTTTTCACCACAGTTGAGTTGCACTTTATCATGGCCCTTTGCCCCATTGTTTCCTGAAAGTAGAGAATGTGGTTGTGGGCTTCTGTTTTTAAAATATGGGGCAATAAGTGTGTACCTGAGAGAGTCATTTCCTGGAACTGGGTCCAGTGCTATTCATCCCCCTTCACTTCTGTGTATTTACCCCCTGGCCCTTGAGGATTAGGAGTTTGCACCCTGGCTGGCTCACGCTGAGGCTGTTCCAGCAGACGTAATTGTGGAGGTGGCAATGAGGTACCCCTCAGCACCCTTTGAGGTGTTGAGTGCTACAAACGTGGATCTTTGACCATATGGAAGAGTGTGGGCCCCCTTCTCATCACTGGTGTCTGGGCTTTTCCAGATATTTTACTCTGAGGTCGTTTCCAGCCTGGACAGACCCTCTGAGGAGAAGACCCATAATGTCCCTGTCACCGAAGATAGAATGATCACGGTGAGTAGCCCCCTCCTCGCAGAACCCATCAAAATCTCCCACAGACTTGGCATGTTAGTGATACTCAGGAGCCTTTCTCATTTAGGGGTTGTGTGCTGTCTGTGTAATAATAATAATGAATGAGTGTTTAGTCCTTCGGAATGCATGAAGGTCTTTCATGTTCATTACCTCATCAAAGGCCTCCTGATCTCAACAGGAGCTGGAGGAAGACAGTCCTCCTGGCACATGTATTTTCTCTGAATCCAAGCCACTCCATTCAGAGAACACAGTCACCTTACAGCTTCTTTTTTCTGCATAAGGTCACTTTGATTTGTTTTTGAAATCCCAATAAATCTTTATCAATGGCACACTTGTACCTTTCCAACTGCTTGTAGATACAACAGACAAGAAAATGATGCCATTTGAAATGTATATTCAAACAGGTCCCAGTTGCTAATTTTCTTCCTGAGCAGGACACCCTGTCCTTCCAGCAATCAATTGTTGGCTCTTCATCAGCTCCTTTGCTACTTCTGGTTAAGGTATCTCTGAGTGAAAATTTCAGCCTTAGGCATGTGCTGTTTTCTCTCCTCCTTCCTCCTCCTATGACAATTAGCCTACAGGGTGGAACTTTTTGAATCATTTTATGAGAATTGAGCTTTGGTACACAGTGTTCTGGTTTAATGGTGGTGGCTAATATTTATAAGTGCCTTCTAGACATAAGTTGCAGCCTATTTGTCAGTTCTGATATGTAACTATTACTTCTGAAGCATCTGATACCTTTAAGGTACTTTTCTGTGTGCCTTCATTTAATTTTACATATAATCTCATGACTTTCCAATTGTTTGGGGATGCCTACTTAATAAATAGAACTCTCAGGCATATAAAAGTTCCATAAAAAAATTACCAAGTCCCAAGGTACCATGAACAGAGAGAGTTTGGGGGCTTCTGTGGGCTATCATCTTTGTGGACACTCACTGTAGCCTGGGCATGCCCTGTGGCAGGAGTGCAGACACTGTGTGTGGGGTCTGCCTTCCTTCTGCTGGAGGGATCAGATAGGCAGGTCCTTTTATTTTGGGGGTCCTGCAAGTTTTCCCTTTTATGTGGTGTTTCTATTTTTTTCTCTTTTCCTGGGATGAGTTGAACATCTAGTGATTTGGGCAAATATGGTTTAGGGCTGGAGCGATAGCACAGCGGTAGGGCGTTTGCCTTGCACGCAGCCAACATGGCTGACCGGAGTTTGATTCCTCTGTCCCTCTCAGAGAGCCCGGCAAGCTACCGAGAGTATCTCGCCCGCAAGGCAGAGCCTGGCAAGCTCCCCGTGACATATTCGATATGCCAAACACAGTAACAGCAAAGTCTCCGATGGAGACGTTACACAGTAACAACAAAGTCTCCAATGGAGACGTTACTGGGCCCGCTCGAACAAATCGAAGAACAACGGGAGGGCCTTTACCTTTACCTTTATGGTTTAGAAAAGTTTAAACTCTCGCCACAACCAGGACTCAGAGGGTCTCTTTTTATTAAAATGTTGACTTTAGGCAGAAGGTGAAAAGATAGAAAAGGAGTGAAAAGATTTAAGTCAGTGGGTACCACTGCGGGAGTGGTTTCTGTCCCACCCCTAACCACCCTTTCCTTCATTCCTACTTCTCTAACCACCCCAGACATGGCCTGGGCCCGCCAATGCTGCTTCACCAACTTGCTTTCTATCTTGCCCCATCCTTCCTTTGGTGGTTTTGTGATGACTGGGGCTCACTAACTAACTAACTAACTAACTAACTACTAACTAACATGTGGACACACAGCTCACACACTTGGTTACAGTGCTCACACACAGTTGGTGATGGTGGAGTCACACATTTGGTTGTGGCACTGGATATCACAAATAGCCATGCTCCTAGGAACACAATAATGTGGGCTGGAATCAGGGACTGGACACACAAACTCACACTACTGAGCTACTTGTGGGGTCTAATTGATTCACTTTTGCATTGCCTCATAGTGAATCTGACTTAAATGATTGAATGGACAAATCACTCTGGCAAATGATGTGGGTATGTCTAGAGGCTTTCCTTAGCATTGGACATAGAGACTTTTCTTAGATGGATGAACACTTTCAGTTTTTCTTTGTGACCATCTTGTCCACTCAGGGGGTGGGGTGGGATGGGGGTATACCATCCGCTGGTCGGATTTTTTTTTTGCTTTTTTGGGTCACACCCAGCAATACACAGGGGTTACTCCTGCCTCTGCACTCAGGAATTACTCCTGGAAGTGCTTGGGGAACCATATGGGATGCTGGGAATTGAACCAGGGTCAGCTGCGTGCAAGGCAAATGCCCTACTCACTGTGCTGTCACTCCAGCCCCCCCGCCCCGGGTCTGATTGATCCCTAACACTGGTTGTATCCAAACTTAGAGGGAACTGAGACAGAGGCCATGAGATTTGCATCTAGTCCAGTTCTGAAGCCAGACAAGGCCCACTGAAATATAGCGTTCCATTATAAGAACCTTAGACCAGGTTTTCTATATTTCTCTGAATCTGATGATGTAGTGCAGGAGGTAACTGGGGTACCTGTTACTGGATGTAGTGCCACGTATCTAGGGGTTCCTTTGTTACTTATAGAGATATGGGAATATGTGTGTGAATGTTAGTGGATACATTTCAGGAATGCCTCACTCTTTCTGTTTTAAATAGGATAGATCTATTCAAGAAGATTTTTTCCCCAATGGCAAACAATGCTGCTTCTCCTACAAAACTCTGGAAGATAATTTTGTATTTTCCAGTGACCACTCAGGGAACGGAACTCTCTCAATTTTCCCTCCACCCTGGTCTGAATTGTTTTCTTTATGCCTTTTAGAAGAAGGATGCTTAGAAAACAGCATTTTTCTATTTCTCTGGGCCTTCCACCTGATGCTAGGAAAGGGAGATCCAAGACTGATCTATAGAATCAACTGTGAAATCAAAAATAAGTTTGACAGCTAGCTACCAGTGTAGTTTACTCTAGAAGAATCATAGCATTTTGATGCTGAACCTTTGGCCGGTGAAGCTAACCTGAATTCCTCAAGACCATGCAGCTATTTACACCCAATCTTGGATCTCTTGACTCTTGTTTGGCACTTCTTTGGTAGAATCACTTCATGCCTCCTCTCAGCAATGCTCATGACGTCATAGTGATGTGTCTGAAGTAGTGAACAGGACAATATTATGCTTTATTTCTGGAAACAAAGAACCCAGGCTTCTATCAATAGGAATAAAATGCAGCATGGAAGGGAATAAAAGTGAGGTTTGAAATCAGGGTTGGAGATTTCAGTAACATCTTATTTAGTATGGTTTCATCATTGCAAAGTGAACTGACATCAGTTTAAAACAGTCTATAATTTTAAGGGATCATATATAATTTAGAATAAAAGTCTAGTAGTACAAAAATCTTAAAATAATAACAATTCCAGCAAAATGTGCTTTAATTCCTCCCTCATGCAACTGCCAGGATTTACTCAGTTTAGCATTTTTCTGGTGCCATCTCAAACCTTTTCACTCTCCTCCCAGTGGTCTAAAATATCTTACTACCATATTTACATTGTAGCCAATAGATGAAAATAGAATAAGGAATTCTCCCCTTCCCTTGAAGGTATAACCCAGCAATTGCCTTCAGCATTGTTACTCATTTCCTAGAGGACAGAATTTAATCACATGATCACACCCAAAAGCTAGGAAATCTGGGTGGTCATGGCCCACTGAAATATAATGTTTTATTATAAGGACCAAATGATTCCAAGATGACATTGAGGTCTCCCTTGTTGCAGAGTGAAAAGAGAGAAGGAATTGGTACAAAAAAACATTGAAAAGCAGTTAAGAATCTGAAAAAGTAAGGTGCTGATCTGAAAATCATATTGTTATGTCTGGAAGTCATGTGACTGAAACATATCAAATCATGGTGTATTTTACGAGAGAATCTAGACCCACCGATACCCCCACTGGTTATATAAACTCTCTGAGTCTAGTTTATCATCTCAAGAATAGAGGTTATAAGGGGTTATGATCCCCGGAGCCCACCAGGACTAATTCCTTAGTGCAGTCAGGAGTAACACTGAGCATCTCTGGGTGTGACCCCAAAACAACAACCAAATAATATAGAGTTTATAAGATTGATTTCTTAGGGCTGTTTGGAGGATTGAAAATTGCAACGATGTGCAAAATTTTTATAAATTCAAAATGACATGTAAATTTGAAATGACATATAAATGCAAATTATTATGATTATGCCAACTATAAGGTGTAAGTTTGTTTTCTGGCAATCTCTGAGGGAGGTAAGAGGCTGTGGAATAGTGCACAGAATTCAGTTTTGCTCATGCTGTCTCCTTGAGATAAACAAACTTAAATTATCCCAGCTTTTTCTCTTTTATGGATATAAGTTCTCGGACTAATGACAGCTACAGGTGGTCTTGTGAAAACAAAGGGGGCAACTTTTCAAAGATTTTGCATTTTAGAAATAACCAAACACAAAGATGCAAAAAAGCATCTATTGTAACCAAAATGAATTTTTCTTTAAAGTGATTGAGAAGACCAAAGGACAATATTAAACTCACTTTAGCTCCTACTTCTAGAAAACAATTCCTCTTACTCTCTTTACTGTCTTGTATAGAAACTAAATTCAAGAAACATAGGAATACTTTGAATTGTTTGAAAATGTCTTACAAGCAATAAAATGAAGCAAAACACTTTGTTTTTCTACTTTGAAAAAAATGTACTTAGCAACTAGTTTGATACAAAGCTGAAGCACTGAATTTATGACATTTAAAGGTAGAACTCCCAAGATTTGTCGAATTGTGTGGTGTTATGCTAAATTATTTGATATAATGAAAGATTTCATTTTAGAACAGTGGTATCAGAGGATGGAGTATGGTTAAATTATTGAGTCCAGCCCCATTTTTCATAATCCCAACAACTCTATCCCCTTGACCCTTACTCCCTTTTGCCAACTTGTCAGCTTGTCAACACAGGAAAAGACCTGAAGAAAGATTAGAAACATCTGGCTTCTGGGAGGGGCCCTCTGTGTCTTTTGGCATACTAGGACTAGAGGTAGCATTTATCTTCCATGATTAATAAAGAATTTGTTTCAAGCTATATAAGAAACTTCTACAAGAATAATTTCTCTTGGTTTTCAGAGATAATTTCACATCTCTGATCCACAAACTTTCGTAGTTTACAGAAATAATAAACTGGTTTTCAGATTTAATATTATTTAATATTTTTATCTTCATATTATCTGATAGAATTTGAGACTCGTAGTTCAACAAATAAAGGCTCATATCCCTTCTTTGTCACCTAATTATGACTTTGAGCAAATTATTAACTTTACAGGGTTTGTTCTCTGTAAAAGAAACCAGACACCTATATTTTAGGACTGGAGGACAAATTCAATCAAGTGATGTGTATAAACACTCCTTGTTTCTGAAACAGAAAAAAAGTGACATGTGGGTAATAGTGGTAGCTGTATTAAGTATTGGCTCATAGCTAATATCTGCAATGTTTGATGAAACCTTATTGTTATCTCCATACTTCATATAGCATAATGACTTCCTCGGAGGGAAAGCCCGGAGCAGAAGCCTGTGAGGGTATGGAACTTGTTTGACTGTGTATTTCTGTTCCTTGTATGGGCTGCCAAGAGAGGAACGAGAACCTGAGTTTATACTTGCCTGTTACCTCCAGTTTCTTACACTTCCCTCATGATGTGAAGCCAGGGGGGCAGAGGGACTGTGGAGGCACCATCTAATCCCAGATACATGGAATTAGAAGAGTGCCTACCTGTGAAAACAGTTCATGTGTTCAACAAAGACCTCTTGTGCAGTTGCATATAGAATAAATGTGGGGATGGTGGATTGGAGACAAACACACCTTCCAGGCTGTGGACATGACGCAGGTAAAGAGTCAGAGAATATGAAGAAGAAAATAGTTTTAAAAGATAGTGAAAAGGGGTAGAAGGGATGTGGGTGAGAGGCAATTGGGCATGTTTCCATAGTTACTAACTCCAGGGTCTAGGGCCAAGTTACTGCCATTGTTAATCAAGTCACAGAGCCCCAGTGATAGAAACTGCTTTGTGATGAGGTCATCTGTTTACATTATGCATCTTGACTTGATTTATTTCTTTCATCCATTCACTAGTTCATCTGTTCATTTATCAAAAAACATTGCTTGAGTCTTTGCTATGAGTTTCCTAACATTATGCTAAGCTTTGAGATGCCAGAGGAATAAAAACTTGCTTTCTGCCCCCAAGTGGGCAAGGAGAAATAAATAGTCAATTACGGTATAAGGAGAGCAATGCTAAGATTGAGGTACACCAAGGACACCAGGGAAGCGTAGAGGAGGTGCCTAACCAGAATGGAGGCTGGGTGAGGGTCAGAGAAATGAGGTAATGTCTCAGTTGAACTGAGTCATGAAGGATGAAGAGGAGTGAGCCAGTCACGAGTGGGGAGAAGGGCATTTCACATAGAGGGAGCAGTAGGTTCAAAGGCCCAGAGGCAAGGAATTGAATGGCATAAATTTTAGTCCTGCCAAATTCTTAAGTATGAGTAGAATGTAGAATGCATGTAAGGAAGGTGGTATGAAATGATGCTAGGAGGACAAGCACAAGGATAGAAATACACTATTGAAAAAGAGCCTTTAACTAGGAACAGTCATGATTTGAGTCTTAGAGAACTCTGGAGTTGAGATGGGGGGGGGGGGGGTCTAGGCAGAATTGGTGAAAGGGAGAGTCAGAAGCTATTGTTATAATTATCAGGAGTTGCACTTAAATAACTGTGATGACAAAATGATATCAATCGATTAAAGTTATGTGATTACTGAGAAATATTGAATGATGTTTCGGAAGGAGTCATGGACACAGAGTACCATGTAAAGAAGTGTCTTGATGAGAGAGAGAATATAAGAACTGAAGCAATTTCTTGTGTATTTGTTAATAGTTGGGGGAATGATGAGTTGGGCTGTAATTATGCTGAACTTCATTGTTTGTAGCTGTTGAGTAGAAATGATCAAGAGGTAATCACAAGCCCATGGAATGGACATCGAGAGGGGGTCAGAGGTAGAGAAGCAATTTCAGGGTGGGTTATGGCCTAGGGTTTTGCTTGAAGTTCACAGTGTAGCAATCCAAGTAAGAGTGAGAGAAGTTGGTGAGGGATGGAATTCCTGGGAAATACCAACATCTAAGGGGTAGGCAGAGAATGGGGAATGGGCAGAGGATGTCAAGAAGGAACAATGAGAGGGGTAAAAGGAGACCTATGAGGAACAGTCATGATTTCCAAGGGAACAAAGAGGCTTTAGACATGAGTGTTTTGGAGGATCGGGATTTAAAGTATCCATTAAATAATAAGTCATTCCCACTGGGTTTACCACAAGTTTTGGTGCCTTTGTTAGAAGCATCTCAACTGAATATGAGAATGAGTTGAGCAATGAATAAGAGATAAGGGAATGAACTTAACTTTCTTAAGAAGTGTGCTTTTATGGAGAGGAGGTAGGGGTACATTCGTGGTGGGAAATAATTAACTATTTCTAAAATAGGGGAGACTTGATTACACACACACAGTCCACAGATTATTGCAATGTATTTTAAGATTAAAAATTCTTGTCAGAAGCGCTTGACAATTATTTATTTAATAAGACAAAATTTGCTGATCTACTGATTAAATATTCTTAGCAACTGCAAACATTTAATCATCTGCAGAGGAGGAAGTTAAGAACTATAGGATGGGATTCCTCCTGTCAAGTGACTTATTGTCCCAGAGGGAAAATGCTTTGTAATAAGCATATGCATGTATATGTATATTGTACATATTTTGTGGTATACAACAATTTAAGATAAAAAACATGACAATCCTTTTCTTAAGTACATCTTTGCACCAGCTCTATGACACACACTATCACAAATATTGTGATCATGTAGTATATAGCAGGCACATTATACAGAGGAAGCAATGAATGTTAATATCAAGGCCATGTAACTAGCAGGATTAAAGGCTAAAATGGTCAATTCCAAGTCAGGCCCTTTCTTCTGCAATGTGCTGTGGCTTTTCACCAAGAAAACCTAACTCTTAGCTTACTACTGAGCCCCGTAACCTCAGAAGCATGTCACTTTAGGTCAGGTCCAAAGTAGAGTGAATGAATATCCTTTAGCTGTAGCTTTCTGGACAGAACTTCATGTACAGAAAATAGTACAGGAAATATTGTCTCACTCTCTCTCTTTCTCTCTTTCTCTCTCTCTCTCTCTCTCTCTCTCTCTCTCTCACACACACACACACACACACATACACACACACATATATTCAGTCCTGGTTATAAGTGGGGCCCCTAGAACAGCAATAACTTCATTTGGGAACATGCTGAAAGCTCAAATTTTCAGAACACTTCAATATTTACATAATCAGAAACCTCGGAGGCCAGGCCCAACAACTTTCTCGCTCTCAATAGTGGGGTCCTAGATTTGAAATTATAACCTTGCATTTACCAAATAAGCATCTTAAGTCATTGAATCATTCCTGGCCTCCCTAGAAAATGGTTTTTGGAAGGCTTCTAAGTGAATCTGACTCTGATTCCATTGAAAAATATAAGAACTGTGACTGGGAATGTAGCTCAGCAGCAAAGCACATGTCTGAGACCTGGGTTCCATCCCCAACATCCCCAAAGAAGAAATAAAAGTCTAAAATATAAGAACCAAAGTTCAAGTTCCTACTTTACGGATACAAAGTAAGACCTCAGTTTACTGTTGAAACTGTTTCTGAGCATCCGTAGTGAACATCTGCTATGGAAAGAAAGAACTGAGAGATTCCAGCCCTGGAAAGGAATGTTCTTTATGTTCTATCAGCCTTGTGGTCTATTCAGAAAATTCAGCTCAGCCAGGAGGAACACTATTTGATAGGCTAAAACACTTGTTCAAGATAGAAGTAAGGGGAATTCTTTCATCTCGGACAATATGTCACAATGTTTCATACTTTGCAAATTGTCCACTTTGGTCAGTCCTAGTGAAAGCGATGGTTATCTCTAGCAATTTACAGATAGTTTGACATACATGTACAGCCTTCATAGAAGTTGTCTGGTTAGGGGCTCGAGAAATAGTACGGGAAGTAAGGCATATGGTGGAAGCAACTCCCACAGATTCGATTCCAGCCACTGCATATGGTCTCTTGAGCACTACCAGAGTTCTTTCCTGGGTACAGATCAGTAATAGCCCCTGAGCACTGCAGAAAGAAATTGTTTGTCCCCGAAGAAGTTCTGCTTGTTGATAATTCCCTGTTCCATTATTGACAGGAGGAAGTGATTGGTGGTTTGAAACCAGGCACGAAATATTTAGTGACTGTAGCAGCTGACAGCCCATTGGGCACTGGGTCACGGAGCTCTCCTCAATATTTTGTCACTTTGAATGAAGGTAAATGGGTTTGATTCGCTAATAATTGGGAAGTGTGTCTGTCATTTCTCCCTCCATGCAGCCTTTATCAATAAGCAAGTCTTATGTGCCAGGCACTGTGAACTCTGGGAAATCAGAGGTGAGAAAAAGCAGGAATTTCCCTGCCCTCTCAGAATTAGTGAGGAAGGTCAGGACATTATATAATTCACATTCAGTCAAAGGCGGTAAGTTCTGGGGTCAGGAGTTCAGCTCAGTGGTAGATCTGGGTTCAATGCCCAGTTCCAACAAAGGAAAAAAAATGTGAGAAGTTTTGCCTACAGAATGCAGGAAGGAGTGTAGAGATAACCAGATGTAGGAGTGAGGTTAGACTCTTCAGAGAAAATGACCAGCATATGGAGCACTGATGGGGAAGTTGAAAGTGAGACCGTGAGGAACGAAAGCAGGAAAAGAAATATATTCGCAAAAGGAAGCCAGAATCTTGCTCCTGAAGGAGTCTTCATGCCAGGCACTGGAATTCAAGAGCATCACTGCTCTGGGCACTCACTGTGGAGGGAGAACAAATGATAATTAAAATTTTTTTCTGTAGATTTTAGAGGGGAGGTGCAAGCAGTGCTAAGGTACCCAGATGCCACTTCCCCTGATTCTCCGTCCACTGGGCCAGATGTTTGCATACTCAGTCTCAAGGCTGTAAAGTTGCTCGGGACCATCCGGACCACAGGTGGCAGTTCTGAGGTCAGAGGACCATGTGGTGCAGGGGCCCAACCCAAGTTGGACACCTGCAAGGAATGCATCCTAACCCCTGCCCTAACTCCCTGGTTCCACAAGGACTACTTTTGCGGGGAGGGTTTTGAGACTGAATCTGGCAGTATTCAGGGTTTATTCCTGGCTCTGTGCTCATGGATCACTACTGGGGGTGCATGAGGCACCCACAAATGGTATTTTAAAGCAACTTTCTCCTATTCATGGGAGGTATGTACCCTTGATAGCCTCTGAGGCATTTCTTCACCTTGAGCTCTGGAGGATTTCAGAAAGAAGTATATTTGGCCTGAATTTCAAAAACAGCAGTTGCCTTGGGGAGATAACAACTGCATGTTTTCACATGAGGGCATTGTTTAAGTATACTGTTCATCAAGGAAAACACACACATAAAAATACCAAGTTGACCAGGGCCAAAGAGATAGCACATTTACTTTGCACATGGATGACTTGGATTTGATTTCTGGCATGTCCTTTGATCCCTTGAGCCTCCCAGGAGTGATCCCCGACCACAGAGCCTGGAGTAAGCTCCAAGCATGGTTGGATGTGCCCCCCAAAATGAAAGCAACAAAAAAGAATACTAAGTGGAATGATGCTAAGGATTTATGTTTCCTTATGGATAAATATTAATACTGGTACTTGGATACAAGGTACTTGGAGGTAGTTAATATATTTAACCTTCCATATGCTAACTATGGAAGGTTAAATATACTGCCTTCATAGTTGATATGTTTTTGTAGTTTGTGTGTGCCTTTAGTTTGGATTATGAGATTGTTCTTAACGGGTGATATTTAGGCTGAAGAAAATGTATTTGTTCTGTTTTTTTCCCTCTTGTTTGTTGTTAAACAGCATCAGAGACCAGAAGTCAATTCTGTTGTATTTGCTATTTTAGATTCCTGCCGACCTCCAGCAGCACCCCAAAAGCCCTACATTCTTGTGGTCTCAGATACTGAAGTGGCTATATCTTGGAAACCTGGAGTCAGTCAAGGAAGTGTCCCTATTAAGTACTATTTTGTGGAATTCATCAGGTAAGCTTGTATGTTGCTTTCAAAACCCAAATGGGTGGATCTTAGTTATTCCAAACCTGATGGTGAACTAGAAGGTGTGTCTGTTGACTGCATGTATGTTTAAGAGATGACAGAGGTGTGCAGCCTATGTTTATATACTGTCCTGGGCCAGCATCTCCTCTTCTTTCTTTGTTGGTGATGGTAGAGGTGGGGGAGAGACTGTCTGGTAAACCTGTACCCTTATACTGTTATCCTCCAAAGTTAGACTGTCCTAAACTCTGAAAACTTTTGCAACACCATTGCCAACAATACTGTCTGTCTTTTATTCTGGAAATAGGCCTCCTGACTTTAAAACATTATATTTGAAGTAAATATTTGATAGTGACCTTTCTCAGGGGATGGGAAGAAAACTCTTTGAAAACAAGTACAATTTTGATTTCCTTTATATCAGTGTTGCCGTGGGGCAAGTTCTGTGGATTCGTTTTAGTTCTATTCTTTTGTCTACTCTCCAGTTCTTGTTATTCAGCTTATCAGATGCTAGAAGAGTAATTAGAAGTTCTTCTAAGATCACGCAGATGTAAGCACATGCATTCTCAATGCTGCTATATAATTTTAAAGAACACAACTTTTTTCATGGCAGCTCCAGGGGTGGTTGGATTTTGAATGAAAGCATCTCATTCATGTAAACTGTGGAACTTATGGTCTCTACATTAAAAATGATGAACTTTGTAAAAGGCTGCTGCTTCATGCATTCATAAAGGGACTAGTTCAACACCTAATTCCTAAAGCTCTCTGAAGCTGGAACAAAAGAATCTGCTTCTGTTTCTTGATTTCTTAACTGAATCCCTGGTGGAAAAAAAGATATTTGTGTTTTCAGAGATGTACTGCCTGGACTTTCTTGAATATTTGAGCTCAGAGTTTGTTTCAGATGGAACTTGTTGAACTACAAAAGTCAGAAGTTTAAAAGAATATGAGAGTGATACATTGGTTCTTTTGACTATAAAATCTAGTGAAAATCTCAATTCAGGGAAGACTAGATCCACATCAGCTGGGCAGTCTAAATTTATCTCTGATGCTTTCCCCTCTGTGAGCTTTCTTTCCAGGATGTCTCTTCCTATAAGGAAGCAAGATGACTTGTGATTGCTTGAGATTTTCAGTGTGCCATCTTGACTCCCCATTGGAAAAAAACTGGCTTTTTCTTTGAAGTCCATTTAGAGTTTGAACAGCTATTCTCATTGGTCAGAATCAAGTCTCTCAAATACCTTAATCAATCACTGTGACCAGGGAGGAAAACCACTAATCAGTTTACTCTGTAGCTAAGAAATGGTGGGTTCATCAGACTCAGAGTACATGAATTGAGAGTTCAAGGGGTTTTCTTCCTCAAATGAAAATTGTAAACCAGTGGGAGAACAAGGAAAAGAAGGAAAACATGTACTGTCTGCTCTTAAGTTCCAGTTTAATAGTTTTCACTGAGCATAGTTTGCAATCTTGTTGTTTGGACTAATTTGGTAGGTACACCCTGGAGCGTGCATGAAGAAGAAAAATAATGATTCTGATTCCAACTGTGTCTAAAAGTACAACACAGGGAAGTCCTCAAAACTTACCTTTTCTTCTGTGAAACTAGGACTGAACCTTCACATGTGTCACTTACTTGTTTAATACCAGAAAGCCAAATATGAAACAATTTTTAAAAACTGCTATGTTTTTCAATGACCATCTAGAATATCATTTGTGGAATTCCCAGTGAAGGTACTGAGTCATTAATTACTAATCAGATGCTAAATAATAGATATTTAAATTTTGTTTAAGTCTGAGCAACTGATAAGGTATAGAAATCATGATTTTCTAACCTGTGTGTATTACAATAGATAGAACATTTAAAGGTTTCATTGAATTTAGAGCCAGAAGTTCTGGGAGAGGTTGCCCTAGGAAAGACACTTCTCATGAGGTCTCAAGTCTTCTGATCCCCTAAGGCAGAGCCTGAATGAGGATTTGGTATAAGCACTTTCTTTTGTGGGAATAAATAGGAATGAGTGAGTAGCAAATGTGAGACTGAGAAAATGCCGTGTAACTGCATGTTATGTAAAGCACTTCTACTAGCTCTAGGGAGAGCCTCAGAGGCTTGATTCCATTTGTGGTATCTCTGAAGTGTACAGTATTCCTCTCCAATTTGCCTATCCAAAAAAAAAAAAAGCGCTAATTACCTGCAGGCTTATGTTCTTTATTGATGGGGCTAGGGTTGCCAAACTGTATAATTCTTACATTTTTAGAGTCTCTCCGTGACTGGTTTAAGGACAGGGGTCTTGGGATAGAGGAAGGAGTGACATGAGCACAGCATGTCCCAGTGCTTAAGGTTAGATCCTGGCTCCTTGGGGAGAGTCCCAGTTCACACAGAATTCTCTACACCCCAGCTGCTACTGAAATCAGAATGGGAACACAGGAAGGTGACAAGGGCCCCAGAGACACTGCATACAGTGTTCTTATCTGTACAAATACTGGTGATAACTATTTCCAAGCTCCAAGTGTCTGGTTAGGAAGATCACATGAAATTACATATGAGAAAAAGATGTTAGATATAAAAATTCTATAGATATGATGGGTACAAGGTATGATGGGTATTATACAGACATTTAGTAGTTATAACTCCTCCCCAGCCAAAGCACATTTTAACTTTCACAGCTATTCATAACATCTGGCTCAGACCTCAAATGTTTATATATAAATATTTTCAAATATTACATCCATCTACAGCTAGTTTCAAATTTAAGATTTTTTAGTCATCTTGGAGAATCAAATGGAACATGTTAGAATGGAGAATGCAAGTCCTGGTTTCAGTTCATCTTAAGAATTTTACCTTGGGGCTGTAATTTTACCTTGATAGTACAAGTGGGTAAGGTGCTTGCCTTGCGTGCGGTAAAACTGGGTTCAATCCCCAACATCCCATATGGTTTCCTGAGCATTGTCCTGAGCACTGACTTCTGAGCACAGAGCCAGGAATAAGCCCTGAGCACAGCTGGGTGTGGCCCCCAAAAAATTGCCTTTATTTTTTCTTCCAGAGTACATACATTGGTCAGAGCGTCTGTTTTCCCATCATTATTATCAAGCCAGTATGTCCATCATGGTAGTGTTGTTGCTCAAAATTTTCATAAATCGTTTACACCCAGAAGACATCCAATATGCTTTGCTCCCCCTCCCCTCACCAACCTACTCTCCTTTTTTATATTTTGTTTTGTTTGGGGGGACCATACCCAATAGTGCTCAGAGACTATCCCTTGCTCTCTGTTCAGGAGTGATCCCTGGCAGAGCTTGAGGGACCTTACGAGGTATTGAGGTCAAACCTAATCTGTAGGTTGCAAGACAAGCACCTTAACCCTCTGCTTTCTCTTCAGCCCCGCACCACTTCTTTGTCTACAAAGAAACTGAATCTCAATGGCCTAGGTTGCTTTTTTCAGCTAAAATGTCTCATTAGGGACCAATAACAGATTGGACCAATATTATATTCTGATTAGAATTGGAATCTTCTAACTTTCAGCCCATGACTCAATTTACAACAACTCCCTCCACCCCATCTCATTTGTGTCTGGGACCTTCCTTCTGAGATGGGAACATGGACCCATTCTGTAGACTGAAGTCACAGGAAGCTGCTGAGGTTCAAGAAAAAGAGCTTTCCCTGATGGTTACTTAATGTTTGCCTGTATAATGAATCCCCACCTTTGTTTGTAAACATCTGAGCTTATCTCCTTACAGGTGAGGACCAAGGATATGGGTTTAAATAGAACTTTCCTTAGCTCCAAATCTTTAACTTGAATTGGTGTGAAAGATTTCAGGGTGGGAGTGGGGGTGGGGGTTGGGGTCCCTCAGTTACTCTGTTTTTCTCCACAGAGATTTGTTAATTCTTGAATTTATTTGCTCAGCTGCCTCCTGTGTTCAGTAGCACCTGGCAGGGGTCCCCTTGGGAGTCCACGTGGTGAGAGCTGAGAGGCAGGCCGTCTGCTGGTCAGGATAGGACACTGGAGAAATCAGTTTATCACCAGGCAGTGTCTTCGATTTCAGCTCCCTATATGTAAAGCTCTTGTCTGAATTGTCCCTGTGAGATGATCAGGGTCTTTTAACCCACTACCTTAGTAGGTTCTCATACACTTATTGCTCTTATACCAAGAGAATAACTGTACCAAAGATAGTGTTTTTTTAATAATTGTTTTTATTTTTTTAATGAATCACCATGAAGTACAGTTACAGACTTCAAACTTTCGTGATTACTTTTTAGTCATACAATGATTGAGTACCCATCCCTCCACCAGTGCCCATTCTCCACCACCAATGATCCCAGTATCCCTCCCACCACCAACCCTACCCCATGGTAGTGTGTTTTTTAAAGTATAAAATGATTTTAAATATTCAGCTGAATAATAAAATATTAACCTGAGAAATTAGACTAGAGCACAAAGCTAATGAGTGCTGGTTGGCTCCTGTTTCTTTGCCCAGTTCCATTTTCCCCAGTAATGCTAGACAGGCAGAGGTGAGGTGCAGGGACTCTTGAATTTTGTAAGGTAGAGTCTGCTTGACCTCAGACTCAGGTAAGAGAAAGTGTTTAGAGGGAAGAAATTCTTATGATCTCCCACCCAAAGTTGGCCTACTGACTTGAACATTAGCTTCCTGATAATAGTAAATTTTTATATAGAAAAGATTTGAAAATTCCAAGTAAGCCTCTAGACTACAACATATTGGCATTAAAAAAATTCAAAGATACAAATAAATGAGAAATGGTGATGCCTCCCCTCTTTTCTTGTTACCTAATTTTTCTAAACAGAAAAGCCATCCACTTGAGGTGAAGGAGAATATTTCTTTTTCAAAATGATACTAAAAAGTTCTTTGCTGGCAGAAATGCCTAGTATTTATTAAAATAAGAGCTAAGCATAAATATAGCTACCTATGGTTGAAATGTTTAGGCTATAAATATCTGAGAAACTTTCCTTCTTCTGCCTAAGAATTTCCCCAGGGCAAGCCCCTTTTTCATAAGC